ATCATATGGCATTTTTTCTTTTGTCTTTCTGACTTACTTCACTTAGTATGATAATCTCTAGTTTCATCCATGTTGCTGCCAATAGCATTATTTCATTCGTTTTTATGGCTGAGCAGTATCCCATTGTATATATGTACTGCATCTACTTATCCATTCATCTGTCAAGAGACATTTTGGTTGTTTCCTGTGCTAGCTATTATGCATAGTGCTGCTATGAACATAAGGGTACATGTATCTCACAAAAGGATTTTGACTGGACTTCATACCACACAAAATGAACTCAAAGTGTATCAAAAAGACCTAAACATAAATGCTGAGAGTATAAAAGTTCCAAAAGAAAGTCTTTGTAGTGTAGGTAGTTATTGAATTACGACTCTTATTCAAATCGCTGACAACACCAATAGTTCGCAAGGAGATAGGGCTACTGGAATCCATATGTTTCACTGCTGATGGGAACCTAAAGTGACGCAGCCACTTAGGAAAATTGTTCTACAAATTCCCAAACCGTTAAGCATCCACTTACCATTTGACTGAGCCATTCCAATTCCAGGTATTTATTTAAGTTAAATAAAAACATGTGTCCACCTGAAAACCTGATCATAAATGTTCACAGTGGCTTTATTTGTAACAGCTTCAGCTTAAGAAAATTGGTGAATGGATTAACACATTGTGGAACATCCATAAAAGAACTATGGCTCAGCAATAGAAAGGAACATGTTACTGATGTATCCAACTATATACATGAACCTCAAAATGATCTTGCTGAGCAAAAGAAGCCAGACTTCAAAGAAATATATATCCACATGATTCACTTATATAAATTCAAGAAAATGTAAACCAACCTCTGTTGACAAAAGGTAGTCTAATGGTTGCATGGGGCTATAGGCTGTGGGAGGGGGGACTGTAAATGGGATGATGGAAATGTTTTGTATCTTGAATTCAGTGGTGGCTTTGTAGCTGTGTACATCCATCAAAAGTGGATGTCATTTTTTATTCACAGATTAGACTTTAAAATTGATTTGAAAGTCTCTATGGGTAATACATGTTTTTAAGTGTTTTTCTATTTGAGTACCTCAAATTTTAGTATTTGGGAGTTATTGTTGCATTCAAATATAACTGAAAATGCAAATACATTATAATTTCCAAATTTTGAAAAAGGAGGAGATATGTGTGTGCAAGAAGTAGGGCCATTTTCTGGAGAATCAGAGGACTAATTGTAAAAGACTTGGTCAGATTAGGGGTCAAGTTCACATACTCAGACCTAATCCATGTCTATTTTATGAGTGGATCCTGGGGTCTTCCATAATTATGACATAGAATTACACATTTGAGAAATTACAAGCACAGGAAAATATTTAATTTTGAGCTTTAATAGACAAACATGATATAAACTAAGAATTTATGCATTAAATACCTATTTTTAGAGGTTCATTTTAAGATTCTGAGATGAAGTTCAAGATTTCACGTACATTTCCTTTCATTGTTGTTGTGATTACCTGTTTTTGTATCACCACCAGCTATGATCTCATATTGATACTTTTGTGTATTGATGTATACCAATGCTCTGTAGATGTGATTTTCCCTTATGTCAACTTCTTTTTTATAAAAAATTAATTAATTTATTTTAATTGGAGGCTAATTACTTTACAGTATTGTAGTGTTTTTTTTGCAATACATTGACATGAATCAGCCATGGGTGTACATGTGTTCCCCATCCTGAGCCCCCCTCCCACCTCCCTCCCCATCCCATCCCTCAGGGTCATCCCAGGGCACCAGCCCTGATCTCCCAGTCTCATGCATTGAACCTAGACTGGTGATCTATTTCACATATGGTAATATACATGTTTCAATGTTGTTCTCTCAAATCATGCCACCCTTGCCTTCTCCCACAGATTCCAAAAGCCTGTTCTTTACATCTGTGTTTCTTTTGCTGACTCGCATATAGGGTCATCATTACCATCTTTCTAAATTCCATTTATATGTGTTAATATGCTGTATAGGTGTTTTTCTTTCTGACTTACTTCACTCTGTATAACAGGCTCCAGTTTCATCCACCTCATTAGAACTGATTCAAATGCATTTGTTTTAATAGCTGAGTAATATTCATTGGTGTATATGTACCACAGCTT